TTTATTTCAAACCCTATTCTTAACGAAAACTTAATAGAAAATCTAAAACCGAATCTCAATGTATACCCGAAACCATAAAAAATTTGATTTTTGTGGAGTTAAAAAACTATACCTGGAGGTCTTCGCAAGTAGGGTCCGAAGAGGGGGCCGAAGATGATGAAGATGAAGCCATTCTTCGTACAAATTTGACGAGTTTGACGAACTCGCACAGAAAGATCGCACAGAAAAATCACAGAGTGAAGAGAAAATGAAGAAGAAGAAACGACACTATGAAGAAATGAAATTGTCTGTCGAAAAGGGGCAAAAAAAACTGTTTGATTTTTCAAAATTTTTTAATTTAGTAACTTCCCAACTTTTGGTCTTTCTCCTTCAGATGTTGACACGTGTATTTTTTAAAAGGGGTAACGATGTCTTTTCATTCTTTTACAGTTTTTGTTTGAAGGTTTTTTTTTAAGGGTATATCATGTAAGTGAAATCGACATTTAAAGGTATTTTTGTAATATTCTCGCTCAAATGTCTTAATATTACTTTTAGGTCCATTACCGTACAACTTGTTGTAAAGCCCATGTGATAGATAGATAGATATGAACGGCCCAAACTTATATCCTATTTCCGCATACGAGCTTAAATAAATTGCGTTACAATGCTTCGTCGAAAAATATATTATGCCATATATTGGATTCGGTAGTACTATAATTAATCAATACGATTTTTTATTTATTTTTTTGGATAATCGGATACTTTAGATCGCGAGTCAAACTAGATAAAAGGAAATGGGCGCAACATGCATAGGTCATCTTCAAAATGTTCTTATAAAATTGACAGTCCAATATTATATTTCATGGTTAGAGATAATTAAAATGTAATATTTCTTGGTCAAACAAAGAGAAATAAACAAATAAACAAAAAAAAGCTCGTATCTTTTGACCAGTGGGGCCCACATCAGTTAAAAATAAAATACTTTTCTTCTTTGAAAATTTTATATATACTTTGGAAATCCCAAAATAAAAGGTATTGGAAAATTTATAAAAGGTTGGTGAGAATTGAATGTTTAGATTCACTTGTGACCATTTCGTGCAAGCTTATCTGAATATTTAATTTGTAAGAATAACTATATCATAGTTATATGTATGCAAATAGGAAATAATTAAGTAGTATTAGATCTCATGCATCTCTTATTCGGTTGGTAGTTGGTTTGGATTTATGTGACCGGTTAAATTTCGGAAATATTATATATATATATATATATATATGTATATATATATATATATAATTGTTTAATAAAAGAAATCTCTTTGCCCAAGAATGTGAGGTGGTAATATTAAGTCAAGTTGGCGATAATATAAATTGATAAAATTATTTTAGCCTTTTTAGGTATTTCTATAATACTTATGATATATATATATATATATATATCGTTTGTCGTTATATTAGCTTAATATTAGCAATAATTGCTGACTATCGTTAATAAATAAATACTCTATATGTATTTATTATATTAGTTAGTTTCGGAAGTTAAATGCATAGATTATCAAAGATTATATAATAAGAACATTCACGTGAAACCACCGACCATCACGCCATTATTTATAATAAAAAAACATCGAAATCAGATAACTAGTTAATTTCAGTTAACAAATCTGCTTTCAATTGGTAACTAAAATTAGGGTGGATTTTCTTTACGTTTGGGATATTAACAAATCTGCTTTAAATTAAATTAATCAAATTCAAAGCAAATATAAAATTAACAAAAAAAAAATTGAATGACACCTAGAATCTTTTTAGGAAATAAATATTTAATATCCGAAACAAAATTTTGAAGATATCAAATTCATTAGTAAATATCTATATCATGATTAAAGTTATAATATCTAATTGAAAAATCAAATATATCAATATATTGATTAGAAAATCAATATAAAATAGATATGATTTTTATGAGATCAAAAAATTGAACTAAAATATATATTAAAATCTAAAAAGATCACCATTAATTAAACTATATGCTAAGATCCCTAGACAAATACTAATCGGCATTGAAATTAAAAAAAAAAATCAAGTTATAGAGTCCATATCCATATACACATTAAGATTAAAAAACACATGCTTTAAGAAAATAAAGAAAAAACAAGTGTTTTAAGGACTTTGGTTATATATTTTAAGGTTACATGAATAACAAAAACACACACAAATATGTATATGCTTTTTGATATTTAAACCTTCCAAAACCATTATATTTGATCATTGGAAGACTTTGATTCACCTGTTTCAAAGATACCAATGAGAACTTGTGCTAAATTTTTTTCATCCTAAAAATTTATGTTTTTTTTTTCACAAAAATTAATAGATTAAATTAATAAGTTGAAGGACAATCTTTCGTTACAATCCGAGAAAGCCACTCAGGACAGGAGTTTGAACATAATACAAAAAGAGATTTGCGATTCAACGCAAATTTCGCAATCGCATCAGCCAGAGAATTACTATTCCTTTGTATATGAGCCAAACTGATACTCGAAAATTTCTCCCAAAGCACTTCAATTTCTTGAGTATATCTCTGCCAACTTAACGACTTCTTATTGTTATTGATCTCTTCTACAACTCCTAAAAATTTATGTTTAATATGAAAATAAATTTCTTAATTAATTTAATAAAATTGTACTTAGAAAATATAGAAAATTTACGAGGGATTTTTTTAATAATTTAATAATACATTTTTTACGTTTTTTATATAACGTATTTCAAAAGCACACTATTTTTTTCACGTTTTTTTTAAATGGAAACCCGACTTATGGGGTGATTAATATTTTTCCCAAGAAAAATAATTTAATAGTTGATTAAGTCACGGGTAAATTATTACTATTATTATTTGAATGTGTTTGTCCTAAGCCTAAAACTCCGAGTGAAGATCTTGAGTATTTGACATTATTGATCATATGATAATGGTTAATTATTAATAGTTAAATGCTCTAAGTATATTGATTATATAATTGTTTTTATACTTTGTACATATATAATCTGAGGTACTCAAAAGGGCCTTTATATAGTACCACTGATGATTAAGGGCATATAGTTAAAAAATCTTAAATCCGCAAAAGGTTATAATAATTAGTATTAATACTGAAAGTCATTAATTAAGGCGATTAAATAAACTTTTGTTTTTAAGCCTTTTTATTAATATATAATACCATTTGATTCTGTACCATTTTATTATCGTCTAAACACGGTGTAGATGCAATCGCACGCACGTAGCCGTAACCAAGTTTAAATAATTGTGACATGTTGATTATTAGCAAGTTTATAATTATATCTTTACACATGTGATTAACTATACACAATATCATTCATAACAAAATCTCTGTTAGTTTTAAATAACATATATATAATATATCTTATACTTTGGGAAAAAAAAGAATCGAAAAAATATTATAAACGAATTCTATACATAGATGAAAAAAACCCTTAAAAACAACCGAAATTGAAATTGAAATGTCCATGAGATAGATACAATGAATAATGTTTTATATATTTGATGTATAAAACACTATCTAAATCCAGTTTCGAATCTTTGTTTGAAGAAACATTAACCGAAGTTTTCACGATTTTCTGGATAATATAGTTAAATCGAAAGTTGGTTAATTTCCAGATTATAAAAAAAAATTTATCTAAATCAAAAACTATAGTTCTCATAAGAAAGTAGATGTTCCGTATATAATATCAATACATTGAAAGTCACATTCATATTTCTTGTTCATGTCTAACAATGGGACCTTTTTCTTTTCACCGGTCTTGTGGCATGCAAGCCAAAGATTGCTTGTTGCCTTAATTTAAGATATATTGGACCCACACAATAATTTTTTTTTTACCTTTTGTTAAAATTTTTCTCTTTAGATACCACCGCTTTCCCTATAAATTTCCATGCAATTAGCTAGCTATATATAGCTGCAATTTCCATAACCATGTGACATGTCTTGTCTAAACCAGAATTTCATATACGATATATATATCTTTTAATATCATTATATGGTTAAATAATTTGGAATTAAAAAAAAAAAGCATGCTAGCGATTAGAAGGGTGAGCGAGATATAATCTCATACCCATGATCATAAACACTTATATGTATATATCTATATAGACACATATATAACATCAAAAACATATTAATAAAGCTCGACATTTTCAAATAACACCATTCTAAAAATTAAAACTACATTGTTTCCGATCAACATTGAAATTATATATAGATACACATATATAAACTTTTATAGGTAGCCTAGGGGTGCATGATGATACAGAAATGTATAGATATAAATGGTGAGTCCAAAGACCGGCAACATCATGAAGAGAACCCTTCGATGATATTAATACTCCCGAGGCCCCACTAAAATCCGGCGTCAATCTTGGCCTTCTCAAACCAACCATTTCCATTAATCAATTCCTATATTAATTAATATAATTACATATCTACAATTAGTATATATTGGATTTGATTAATAATTAATGACCATAGGGGTTTTAAGAATAACTACTTTATGAATAGCTATTAATTGGTCAATAATTTAAACAATAAATAAATTAGTCTTGCTCTTGTCTTATTTCATTCTTCATCGTTTGTAGTCTTGTCTTGTCTTATATATATACATATATACATACGTGTATGTATGTATGGACAATTGGTCAATTCCATTCTTCTTAACCATTTCTTATATATGTAGTGCAAGATACTGGTTAGAGAGATAAGCATAGAAATTAATCCATGCATGGAAAATGACGAAAGCATGCAGTAATTTCTATCATGTGACACAAGTACACAAAATGATGCATTTTTTTGGCATGAATAATGAATACACCATATTTTATGGAACATATAATTATGTGTTCCCCCCCCTTCGACTAAATTAATATTTTATCATTTGAGTCCTATTTATACAAACCCCTGTTGATCTATAAATACCTAGCCCCGGTTCAAGGCCTCGTCTCATTCACCAAACACAAACAGAGAGAGAGAGAGAGAGAGAGAGAGAGAGAGAGAGAGAGAGAGAGAGTATGGCAGCGAAAGGAGAGAAAAACGTGGCTGTGTGTAACATGAAGCTCGAGAGGCTTCTCAGCATGAAAGGCGGCAAAGGACAAGACAGCTATGCCAATAACTCTCAAGCTCAGGTCTCTCTTATTTTCACATTTATTCACCTATGTTATATTCTATTTCGTATGTTTGTTTTGGTTACGATCCGTTTCCGGACATCTTTAATCTATGTTTCTGTTACATAAATACACACATCTGGCTCTCTCTCTCTCTCTCTCTCTCTCTCTCTCTCTCTCTCTCTAATACGCAAATCAGTTGCATTATTTGGGGCGACGTGCATGGAAATGGATGTATAGTCATGGAACATGCATGTATATCAAAACAGATGTATATGGCATACGCATTTACGTGTCCTCATGCATATGTAAATCAACAACATTATATTCCAACGGGTTATTATATAATTATTCAAATTAAATAATACGTAATGTGCCCATGCATGCATATATATATGCAGGCGATGCACGCACGATCGATGCTCCACCTCCTCGAGGAAACCCTAGATAACGTCGACATCAGCTCCTCCGGGAATCCTCGGCTGTTCACGGTGGTCGATCTGGGCTGCTCCTCCGGATCCAACACCGTTCACGTCATCGACTTCATCGTCAAACACATATCGAAGCGGTTCGAGCTCGCCGGAATAGAACCGCCGGAGTTCTCCGCCTTCTTCTCCGACCTCCCGAGCAACGACTTCAACACTCTGTTTCAGCTTTTGCCTCCCCTTGTCTCCAACTCTTGCATGGAGGAGTGCCTTGCCGCCGACGGAAACCGCTCCTATTTTGCCGCCGGAGTGCCCGGATCTTTTTACCGGCGACTCTTTCCGGCGAGATCTATTGATGTTTTCCACTCTGCCTTCTCCCTGCATTGGCTCTCCCAGGTACGTTTAACTATACATCGTTAAGTATCTCAGTGACTATTTCTGCATTATACATATATGGGCATGCCGTGATATATATATTAAAATGCGGAAACAAAAGAAAATATAGAAAAGATGAAGATATAACTAAATCATATTTATTGTTACATATTCTTTTTGTGAAAATTATCTCCCGTATTGTCAAGATCTACGGAATAAACATAGTGTATATATTAACAATAAAATGAGTTTAAATATATAATATACTTTTCTTTCATTAGAATTACTATTTCTCATTCTAACTTGATAAGAATATATAAATCCAATTTAAATAGTAGGCTTGGAGGGTAATAGTTAATTGATACAATTGTCTATATAAACCATATGTAACGTTTATAATCTTTTCAAACCCGTATTATTTCTTTTTTCAATAATATATATAACATGTATATATATGCACAGGTGCCGGAGAGCGTGACGGAGAAGAGATCGGCGGCGTACAACAGAGGGAGAGTGTTCATACACGGGGCGGGAGAGAAGACGGCGAAAGCGTACAAGAAGCAGTTCCAAGCTGACTTGGGAGGGTTCCTGAGGGCTCGGGGGCAAGAGCTCAAGCGAGGTGGGTCCATGTTCCTGGTCTGTCTCGGCCGCACCTCCCTTGACCCGACCGACCAGGGTGGTGCCGGTCTCCTCTTCGGCACCCACTTCCAGGACGCCTGGGATGACCTTGTCCTCGAGGTAACCTACATTTTTAAAACTTCTAATTTTAATTATTTACACGTTCAATACGCATGCATATATATATATATATATATATATAGTAACTTTTCATATCCCTATCCACATCTGGCTTTTTAAGTGAACAACCCATGTTTCACAGTTCAGATTTCTAATTAGACACTTTTCTATATAGGACTGATATATAATCATCTAAAAACTTTGTTCCAAAAAAACATTAAATATTTATTATTTGATTTCTATCTAGGATTATATCCCGAGATATGAACCAACCAAAAGGTTCAAAACGAAACAAATCCTATCTAAATGATAGAAAAACTTAATAAAACAGTGTGTGTGTGTGTGTGTATACATAAATAAAAATTAAGCTCTTTTTTCTTCGCATTTGGTATGGTGGCTATATGCATGCATATCCATCATAACTATAGTATCAAATGCACCCGGACAAGCTTTTAAATTAGTTTTTCCTTATTTTATTTATTTATTTATCAAGCTCATGAACTCTATCCACAAGAAATAATGATTTCGCCCAAAATCCATACTAAATGTCTAAGGACGTAGATCCAAATGATTTGTGGTGGCTAAAGGACCAGATGATGAAACCCTCATCATCATCAGTCCTGTTTCCAACCACAGTCAAATCCTGTTCATATCAGATCCGATTGCCCTCTCCCGGGTTAATCTCGACCGTTCATTTCACCGATGGCTAGCGTCGGCAACATCATGGCCGTAGAGACAGAACCGGCAGGCCATATTATTGACTTTGGTGGAAAAAAGAGACGACAAAAAAGTTTAAAGAGAACTCAATGTTTGCCACTTCTTTATTAGAACACAATCATGCAAGCCGTCAGATCCAATTTTCATCACTATACAAAAAAGTATTTCACATATATATATATATATATATGTATATGTTTCATATCACCTCCTATCACTATTTCCTCACTCGACAATCATCATATACGGATATATAGTGGCATACTCACTCTTTC